TACGTGGTGCAAAAGGGTGGGCTGTCTGTGGAGGGTGACACCCCCTGTCCCAGCTTCCTCAGAGGCAGAAGTGGCTGCAGCCTCAGCACATTTGGTGGAAGCGGGGAAGTGGGCAGGAATGCAAAGGAGCTTCAGGTGACAGTGTGACACACATGCAGTGATGTGTCCCAAACGTGGAGATTTGGGAACATCAGCTTGAAGAAGACAAATCATCATTATCATCTGATATAGAATTTACATCCAGCTAAATCAATATTTCAATTAAATAAATTCAAATTCCCATGATCTTTCCTATAGCATTCCAATAGACAAACAGAGTGTCATTAGGAATAAAGATATGCACTGAGGTTTGTGCCCATAGCCTCTAGGACAGGCTCCAGGATGCTCCCAATGACCCCGAATTGGACAAGGGGTTACAGAAAATGGATAGATGGATAGATTGGTGGATGGACATGTACTACGGTTGCACAATATTGGAAAGATTCACATTAAGATATTTGAAATTTTGTGATAAATACTGAGTTATTTAAGAAACATAAAAGGAGTGGAAAACATACCAAAATAAACTCTAGCCACCAAATGAGTCTGTCAAGTAAACAAATCAGTGCTGACAAATCACTTGCTTTTCTTCAGTATCATCTCCACGCCTCCTTAAATATTCCTGTACTGCAGAAGATGGATGGGTTTTGGTGACCAGTTCTTGTTCGCTTTTCTCCTCACATATCTTTGTTAATTTCTCAGTGCATCACACTGTCTATGAGTGAGTTCAACAATAAGGACAAAAATGATTATTACTGGCAAAAGCATCGGCAGTAAACTTTAGACTGACTTTAAAAATATACTAGATATTCTTGAAAAGGAATTTAACATTGAAATTGCAAAGCTTTCTAAGTTGTTTCCTCTGACAGGGTAAAAATGTTTTCTTTTTAACAATCTCAGCCCAGCTGACTATCATGGTCCTCGCAACATGATATTAACATTGCACATCGTTCAGGCCTAACATGTACATAATAAATGCTGAAACATTCTTTTGGGCCACAGCAAAGTACTCAAGTCATCCACAGAAATGTAATGCCGTCCTGATAAATGATATATATCAATTTATAAAAAATGTGTAGAGAACAAATGACTTTATGGACATTAAGCAATGTGGTGTTTCATTCATGAATTTAATTCCAACAGAATGATCAACAAACTGCATTTTCTGTTTTTAAAGAAAGTAAGCTATATATATATATATATATATATATATATATATACAAGAAACTAATAAAATATAGCTTTACGATTTAATAATGCTACCTAATCTTAATTTGCATAATAATTTACATTTCAGGGGGTGTTTCAGGGGGTGTTTCAGGAACTGCGATGATTAATACTGCCCTACAAAGGCAAAACTTAGTTACTACGATGACACTGAAACTGGGAAAAAGTTGAACTAAGATATTTTGTCATGAGACTAACCAAAGCCTAAGAGACCCGATTTTGGTCATAACGCAATTTCGATGAAATATGCAATTACAGTGATTTGCTTTTGTATGGCGGAATACTCATAATCTTGTAGCATCCAGAATACATGAATCATCTATGTCACACCCCACACAGAAGCACACACAGTTGCACGTCTCTAGCTCTCAGTTACACGTCCTGTTCTTTGCTCCCATCATACCCAAGTGTCTAAATTGTGCAGCATGTGCACATGTTTACATCCAGGCTGCTCAGTGACCGGCAAGGAGTTGTATCCTTAACTGTGCTGCACAATGCCAGTGACAAGTGAACTCCAGAAAACCAAACCAAAAATAATGTCAATAATGATAAACAAATAGCTATTGTTGGGCATTATGGTTTTTGCTGATTTTATACTTTGATGTTCTGGGCCTTTTATCATCTCCAGGAGGGCAGTGAGGGGGGGGGG